AATATCAATCACGAACTAGCAAGTCGGCTAAACTTTATCGCCACCCATGGTCTTGACAAGGATAATAGAAGAGAGTTATTACAAAAATACCTGACCCCATCAAATTGCAAAGATTTATCAGCTCCCATACTAAATCCTGAGATCAAGGCGGCTACTCCAGACTATATTGTTAAACGGGATAGATCGATAGAGATTAATCAAAAACAAATCGCAGCCGCAATCACATGTCTTGGTAATATAATGAGTACGCAAATTACGAGCAGCGGAAGGGATAGTGAATTATTAAAGAGCCTAATGGACGCCAGTCGTATCTTGTGCGATGTCCAGCATATGCAATCAAAGGCACGTCGTGCTTATGCACTCTATTCTTTAAAAAAAGATTTAAAAGAACAATTAAACAATACTAAAATTGACCGATTTTTGTTCGGACAAGATTTGGCGGAAACTATTAAGACTGCAAAAGCTGTTTCGAGATCGTCCATTGACTTAAAAGTAGAAATTAGAAGGAGACCAAAACAGAGCAGGAATTTAAACCAAAAGCCGGGTCCCGGGAGTCGCAGGGCGGCGCCGGGTCCTCAGCGCTACCACCACCAGCCGTCCACCACAACACGTCCGATGTCGAGCTACCTGCCACCAACTCCTCCGTCGTTACCACCCACATCGAGTGTGCGCGGTCAGCCCTCAACGGCATCATCTTATCGGCCCAGACAGACAAGGAGGCGTTAGGTGCAGACAAGGTACGTTATGCAGGCAGATTACGACATTTTTTCAAACAATGGTCGCTCATCACCGAGGACCAATCAGTACTCTCATGGATTCATGGTTATGAGATTCCGTTTGATAAACGGGTTTTTCAGCAAAACCCACCAATCACAGATATCGGTTCTTGTTTAGAAAAACGGCATTATCTTGAATCAATTCAACATTTACTTTCAATTGGAGTTATCTCCGCCTGTGCACCTTGTAATGATCAATATGTTTCACGGGTTTTTTTAGTACCTAAACCTAATGGAAAGCTGAGATTCATTCTAAATTTAAAAAACTTAAATAGATTTATTAGGGTTAATCACTTCAAATTAGAGGACTTGCGAACAGTTCTAAAATTAATCTCAAGAAATTGTTTCATGACAACCCTAGACCTTAAAGATGCATACTTTTTAATTAACATTCACCCTAATTCAAAGAAATATTTGAGGTTCATTATTATGGATAAAAATGATCTAAACAGTAAACAAATGTATGAATTTAATGTTTTACCATTTGGGTTGAGTACAGCCCCTTATGTTTTCACAAAACTTATGAAGCCTGTAGTAAAATTATTAAGATCTTGTGGATACTTATCGTCGATATATCTCGACGATTTATTTTTAACCGAATCGACATATTCGGAGTGTTTAGAAAATGTTAATGCTACAAAAGGGTTATTACAATCTTTAGGTTTTTTGATAAATAAAGAAAAAAGTAATTCGATTCCATCCATGCATAGCAAATATTTAGGTTTTGAAATTGATTCATATAAATGGCATATATCTTTACCTCGAGAAAAACGAAATAGAATTATAAAAGATATTTTAGAAATAAAACAATTGCAAAAATGCAAAATTCGCAAGTTTGCACAATTAATAGGATTGTTAGTTTCCTCTTGTCCAGCAATCGAATATGGATGGTTATATACTAAAGAACTTGAACGTTGGAAATACTTAAACTTAAAGGGGCATGATGATTATGACAGAAATATGATTATTCCTTTTTCCTTACACTCTGATTTAGAATGGTGGTTAAATATGGTAAAGGATGGTGTAAAAAAGATAAAAAATGATAATTATACCATAGAAATTTATTCTGATGCATCAACAACGGGATGGGGAGCGGCTTGTAATGGTCAAACTGCTAGTGGCCGGTGGTCAGAATCGGAACAACTTTTACATATTAATTACTTAGAATTATTAGCTGCATTTTTTGCTTTAAAAGTATTCGCTAAATACTGTTCAGACTGTCAAATACTCCTACGTGTCGATAACACTACCGCCGTGAGCTATATAAATCGTATGGGTGGGATACAATACCCTAATCTTAATAGCATAACGAGAAATATTTGGCAGTGGTGTGAATGTCGCTGTATAACCTTAAACGCTGCGTATATTAAATCATCCGAAAATGTTATTGCTGACCGCGAATCGAGACGTTCACATCCCGATATTGAATGGGAACTTACTGTGACAGGTTTTGATCAAATAACAAAAAATCTTGGTTACCCTCAAATTGATTTATTTGCAAATAGACTTAATAAAAAATGTGAAGTTTATGCTTCATGGAATCGCGACCCAGATGCATACGCCATTGATGCCTTTACTTTTACGTGGGCCAACTGCTTCTTTTACGCCTTTCCACCAGTTGCAATAATTTTAAAAACCCTGAGAAAGATTATATCAGATGACGGTACAGGCATCATGGTTGTACCAACGTGGCCCACACAACCATGGTATCCACTATTTCGCCGCCTAGTTGTGTCAAAAGTAGTACAATTACGTCCGCAACATTTCACTGTGTCTCATTCCAGAAGCATACATCACAACCTTACCCTGGAGGCCGCGATCTTATCCGCACGGGGCTCCTGCTAAGAAAGGTACCATTAGAGTCTGTTGAGATAATGTTAGCATCTCTATCAAATAATACCATGAAACAATACGATTCATGCTTACGAAAATGGTATAACTATTGTACAGAAAACGATATTGATATGTATAACCCACCCGTTCCATCAATAATCAGATTTCTTACGAATACATTCAATACCGGTAGTCAATATCAAACAATAAATTGTTATAGATCGGCAATATCAATTTTAACCGGACCAATAGAAGATGATTTGATTAAAAGATTTTGTAAGGGCGTATACAAACTAAGACCTTCCTTACCCCGATACAATATAACTTGGGATGTAAATATTTTATTAAATTATTTGTCCACAATGTACCCTCACAATGAAATATCCTTAGAAAGATTATCAAAGAAATGTGTTACACTTATAGGCATCGTCACTGCACATAGAGTACAAACATTGTCAAAAATTAAAATTAACAATATAATTTATTTAAAGGATCAACTAATCATAAAAATTCCAGAATTAATTAAAACTTCTAAAGCTGGATGTCTTCAACCAGCTTTACACTTACCTTATTTTAAAAACAAAGTTTCTATATGCCCTGCAGCCACGTTAACTTCGTATGTGAATGTAACTAAAGACATAAGAAATTCTAACAATAACCTATTTATAAGTTTTAGAACTCCTCACAAGTCTGTTTCCTCTCAAACAATCAGCAGATGAATTAAATCCACTATGAAAGACAGTGGAATTGACGTATCCATTTTTTCTGCTCATAGCACCCGCCATGCAGCAACATCATCTGCCTACCACAACGGGGTTAACATAGACTTAATAAGAAAAACAGCAGGTTGGAGCGGCAATTCCAGTGTCTTTACAAAGCATTATAATCGACCTATTTTAAGTAACAATGATCTTTCTGCTCTAGCAAGAACTATGGATTTATAACAATTTGCTCTTAATTGAATAATGATTATAGAAGAAAGTAAAAATAATTTATACTTGCGTTGGAATTATATAAAGTGCAATAAATCATTAAATACTTATATAGTTACCTTATTCATTATAATAAATAAATATTTCCTATCTCTCAATATCTACATAGTGTTTATAATTACAAAAAATAATAAGTAAGTATACTAATCTCGAGGACGAGGCACGAGTATAATTGATGATTAAACGAACTTACCTAAGTGAAGTTCGATCATAATTATACGAAGTGCCTCGTCCGAAGAGATTAGTATGCAATCCCTCCCTCCCAACACACTATTTGCTTCAAATAGTTCCCCCTAACTAGGGAAATATTTATTTTCTCTCAACTAAATGAGGGCACTGGGGTTGTCAGTTGGCGGGTGGGGTGGCTTTGGCGGGAAGTCAATGTTACCAACTATAAAAAAAAATAATAATAATATAAAAAAAAAAATGCATTTAACCGGAAGTTAAAGAATAGACAGTCATTTTCAGTCTAATATATATATTTAGACGGTAAATGACACAATCTCCTGAACATAGTGCTGAATGTGGCAACACTTAGGCGTTACTACATAGTGTTTATAATTACAAAAAATAATAAGTAAGTATACTAATCTCTTCGGACGAGGCACTTCGTATAATTATGATCGAACTTCACTTAGGTAAGTTCGTTTAATCATCAATTATATTTAAGCTGAAATTATATCGTATGTCACTTAGTAGAATAGAAAAACCATTAAAAACTGTAGTTTCGTTCGGTTTCGATCCGTTTTCGATTCGATTTAAACAAAATTTATTTAGTAGAATTGCCCCCTGTTTTCCCCCGAAGTATCGATATGAAAGTCGCGCGAGTCATCAGCTGTTCATGATAACTAAATAAATAGTTTGTATTTATTTTACTGCTTTCAAGTAATATTCAATATCTTTATTGTATCCATAGGTGTAAAACGTGTTACATAGTGTATGTAAAACATACAATAAAAATGTATTTTTATTTTTAAATTTAAAAGGAATTCAAAAAAATAAATATTTATGTCAATATTTCACTAAGTTTAGTTAAAACAATCTCACGTACCTAGTTCAATATAATTATATGTTATTATTACTAAATGATTTATCAAACTCAGTGCGAAAATATGTTGGTATATTATCCATCTCCTTCATGTTATAGTTTAGATGGCACAATCTAAGGATCAATTGTAGATTGTAAAATAGCAACTGTAAAAAATTATCTTTTAACATAGATTTATCTCGGGCTTGGGTGGCTTTGTTAATTTTATTCAGTTTCAATATTCCATAATAAACTTGTGATTTAATGTAAATATAAAAATTAATGTACTTATCTGCCTTAATATTTGTTAGACTAATCAACATTCGCAAATGCTATGTCATATTCTGAAAGCAAAAACAAATGAGTCCTCACCTAAAATCCAAACTGCCAGCTGTGAATATATATTGTCCATTATAAACTGCACTAAAAATAATAGGTAGAAGTATGAAACAGTAGTTAAAAATCTGGTAACGGCCGAAGGAGCCCAGCTCCAAGAGTATGGAGTCGAGGTCCATGGTACTGTCCTGTTGCGGCATTGTGACGCGACCGCTCGCGACGGCGATACCAACTGTTCTGACCACTGGTGCTTATCAGAAGAACTTCCAATATGTCTCTAATTCACACAATCCTCTAACACTACATAAACCTCTTCTCCGTATAATAAGGTAAAACGAAACATCTCATCACAAAAAAGATTTATTGCTAATTTTGAAGGTACTTAAAGATAAGTAGGTTGTGTCAGTGGCATTAAACTATTGTAATGCAAAGATAAATATTTTAACTGGTGGTAACTTGTGATAAGGAATTCGATAATAATTTTTAAACTTTGTGTGTACAAAAGATTGTCTTTATTTTCAATTATTTATCAAAAAAAAATGTAATTAGGTATGTTAATTCATCGATGACGATTGCTATCTTAACATTAAATAAAGGTAATTATATTAAATTTCACTCACAATATCATTTTGATACTTATCTTAAAGAAAAATGTTTAATAACTTCACCAATCCCGTGCCCATCGCGGGCATACGGCACTGGTGGATTTTATAATCATTTTGCCGTAAGCCAAGCACACAAGACAGGTCATATAAACGTTAATATAATTTAGTATAGCTTAAATGACAGTATAATAACTACCTATGTACATATTTTAATAATACTTAACTAATTAGTCTGAAAAAGTAAGTAGTATTTATTCTTATCTGAAGTAAATATTGAAACTTCACTGACACTCGAATCTGTCTGGGGACTGCTTTTGTCGTTGCCGGTAACACATTTTCAGATTCAATTTCCAGAGTTTTTGCCGCCATTTCCCATTTTGCCGCTTCAATGAAAAATATTTGGTTCTAAATAAAATACACATAAAATCATGTCCTCAAGTACTAGATGTATTTTAGCGATAGTTTAAATACAATTCTTTATGTAGAAATAAAAGAAAGTGTTCGTCTGACCCAATCAGAACACAATATACCTAGTTACTTACATTAGCAAATCTCATTGTTGATTAAGTGTATTTGGAATACATTCTTTTGTCTACAATCAATTAAGCATAAGTATTTTTTTGTTTTGGCGCACTCTTAAAGCCACGCGTGCGGTGGTCACGTACTCACGCCTCCACGATGACCAAACATCGCTCGTCCGCGTGTAGTTTAAGTCGTGACTCATAGGGTAGTGGAGCCTCTACCCGGGATTCCTTGCCAGTTACCGAGTACCGGATTACGCGAGATGATGGTACGGAGGATTTTGCAGGGTAGGCCAACTGCACTGGGCCGACTTCCCTTACAGTTGGAGGGCCCCGGTTTTGTCGATGAAATGTTAAGGCTCAGTAGTGGCTTAACAGTACTTAATTTTAGTCGATATTTATTACACCGTGAACATTATATTATATCGTGAATTTGCACCTTCGAGACAGGACAGATCCTTTTCTACGTAAGGTAAAATTTACGACACAAGTGCTCATGATACATCGAATGTTGATTCTAGGAGTAGGAAGATTACCACAGAGCCTGCAAAACGATTTTGTAAAAATCAACCCGAATTCGAATTCACTCAGAAGGCCTACTGTGTTTCTTTCTGTGTCTCCGAAAACGAAAATTCGTCTATTTTCGAAATCGTTTGTAGACAAACAGTGTAGCCCCTCAGATGTCCTAATTTACTTCGAAAACGACATCCGCTTGACTTAGGTTACTGTAGAAATATTCTCCTATTTACCATTCATACCTACATTGTATAAAAACAAAACAAGATCAATTGATTCATACGTGTCCCAGATATTCTATCCATGTGCCATTTCGAAATTCACTTCATTTATGCCACGAAATGTTATACCAATTCAAGGTAGTTTTCGAAGTGAATTCTGACACCGAGTGAATTCGAATTCGGGTCCGGAATTTGACGGAATCGTTCAGAGTGGTAAGTGTAAGTTTTACGCTAACGCGTTCACTAGTGAGCGCGTTAAGAATATGTATGGAGATTTGTAGTTCTTGGTAGTTACCGATAGGGGCGCTGTACCGGATTCCATACTAAAATCTTAACGCGCTCACGATCGACAGTGAACGTAAACGTCAAAAAAACTTACACTAAGCACTCTGCTGTTTCGAGTTGCTACTCGATATAATGTTTCATACCGCGTGTATATGATGAGAACTGCACAAGGAAGGGCAAGCGAACGATGATATTCAACAGTCAATGGTGGAGTGGTTATACGGCTTTAGAATGTTCCCCACAATTAATAATATTATATGGTACTTTCGCCCTACCACGCAAGTAAACTCCATGGAGTCGTGAATCTTACGACTACGGAGTTCAATGAAAACGAACCTTTAAACTTCTGGTTCACCTTGAAATTGCAAAAAATATATTTTTATCAGCCGAGTACCCAACCTTGACATAATAATAGTCTAATGTTGGCAATATATTATGTAACATTTCTTAAATTGCAACATTGACATTGAATCCTATAAATAAACAAAGTCAGGATTGCCTTCGTCGTTTATTTAATTACCATAATGTGACGTCCTTACTTATTTACCTTTTCCAATGCAAATACAAGAATATATTTAGTATTGGCAAGGCTAATGAACAATCTATAGCACAGAGGCATATATTATTTACATAATTAATTATTAACGAACAAACATACTTAACGAAATAAGAGCAATAACTTAAAGTATTAATAATAGGTAGGTATGTTGTAACACCGCATCAATATTTTTATCACATTGGATCGACTCAATACATTTACCCTTATCATTAAAAAATAAATAAACACACATTTCAATTTGACCTTTTCTCTTATGTCACTATATGCTTTAGACGGCCAATGGTTTGAACCAGGACTTTTCAAAGCGGAGTACGCGAACCCCTATGGGTTCTTCATTCGATAGTAGTAACTCGATAACTTTACGATGATGGTCAAAACAATGTGACTCACCGTGTACCGGCGCAGGATTTTAGCCTCGGTCAAATTTTTCTGCTCGATTTTAAACCTTAATACGTTGAAGGTAGAAGAATTCGAAATAAATTGCGGAAATTTGACATACTATAATCTGACATGAAATGTTCTTTTTATGGTGTCGCCATTTCTGAGACCCTGATTTAAGTGAGACCCTTATGAAGTAGAAATCTTTAAATACCTCATTTGGCAGGATAATTTTACACAAGGTAGTTTTGTTTCTCCGCTAAATCAATTTACTAATAAGTTTTCTAATTGATTACTATCAATGACATGAAATGTTAGCTTTTGGAATGGTATCAAAGACTTTAGATTAAGTTTTACATGATTGTCCTGGTAGGTAGGTACTTATGGGTATCCGTATTAACGTTAGAGGGATTTAAAATAGAAATTAAAAAAAACAGCATTATATGTAACATAATAATTTATTATATATATTTTAATTTCCTTAAACGTTTTATATACATCAACATGAAATGCCAAGAATAACATCTACATAGTATTAAATAGTACACAAGAGCACAACAGTTTATAAACAGTTAAATATATTTTATACAGTCAGCAACTGATCGAAGGGAACACTGCTTACTGCAAAGGAGCAGTGTTACGTTAGATCAAATGTATTTCATCTAAATAGTTATACATATTTCGATAGGATTCTAGACCTGGGGCTTTTCACCGTGAGACCTTTAACGCGATGCAAGCGAGAAGGCGCTATACGCACGTATAACAGTGTCTCGCTCTAGCAACGCCGTTTGCGTCGTATCAAAGAGCTCACACTATAGTCCCTGAACATGATATACGAGTATATAACGATTATATAGAAAAAAATTGATATATCATTAAATATCAGTAGTACATTGGTCACGAATTTATGGGTTTACATAACATTCAATGCTTATAAGTTTAGACTAAAACGGGTACGATATACGTGTTAATTTTTATACGAATTTCGTATGCGCTCGAGTATAAAGATGCACTTTCAGCAGAGCTCGCTGCCCGCTTTGCCGTTTTTCAGCATACGTCTTCGAGCTTAATTTATGTTTTCTACCTTTTTCTATCACACAGAAAAAGTTGTAGTTTGTTAGAAGAAATATTGAAAAGGAGAACACCAATCCAGCACTATACTTTATTATAGACTAGCTTTCCGCCAGCGGCTTCGCCCGCGCGTTCATGTATTATACATAATAACCTTCCTTTTGAATCACCCTATCTATGAAAAACAATCCGTATCAAAATCCGTTGCGTAGTTTTATAGATTTAAGCATACATAGATATGGGGACAGAGAAAGCGACTTCGTTTTATACTATGTAGTGATATAAAAGTAATAGAAAAATAGAACCTTTAATCATAATGGGTCGCTGAACCTAATCAAATATGGCTGACGGAGTTCAACATAAAGTGATAAGTACCAGAACTGGCAGAATCTGTCAGATAACTAGTTTTTCGCCAATGATAAGTTTAGATAACATTTGAGACGATAACACTACGGTTGCTCGACAGCAGTTATTTGTTCGGTCACAGGCCGACCATGAAAACCTCATAGTACAAAATAACAACAGATTATGGTAATTTTAATTACAAAAAGAAAGTACTAAAAGTATCCTTCAAAAGAAATGAAATGAATGTTATATAGAAACTAGCTAATTACATTAATTTTTAATTTATATAAAGACGAAACCACAGTGTTACATATAGAGTAGGAAAGACAGAGGGCTGTTTGTAAGCGTAATTGCCTCGGTCAGAAAGATAGAAATCTATAGCTATCCATATGGTAGCTACGAACAAACCGACAAATCTTTATGCTGCCGTCAAATCTTTGATTCAGTGATGGCGCGATTTACTCGCTCTTTCTAAACGACGTACAACTGGAGATTTGGCATGATAGAAAAAAGACCAGAGCATCAAATTGTAATGAAATTTTTTAACTACGTTCTAACTTTAGAGGTCGCAAACTCAAATGTTGAGTATTTACATTATACAAGTATATAATAATATTCCTTGTAAAATAACGCTTACACAAAGCGGTTCTTTATTTATATAAATAGTAATGAACACTAGATTTTTTTTATTAAATAATG